TCAGCTGGACAAACTGAATGATGCACTTCAACAGAAAAGGTCAGAACTAATCAACAGGAAAGGTGTAGTGTTTCACCAAGACAACGCGAGACCTCACACAAGTTTGGTCACTCGCCAAAAGCTTTTACAGCTCGAATGGGATACAATGCTACACCCACCATATTCTCCAGACCTGGTACCATCGGATTATTATTTGTTCCGGTCACTCCAAAATTTTTTAGACGGTAAAACCTTCACCTCAAGTGAGGAGATCAAAAACCTCCTCGATCAGTTTTTTGCCAGCAAAGACCAAAAATTTTATGAGCGTGTAAAACTGTCTTTCATTTCCACAAAAAAAAAACGAAATGACTTTCCGAACAACCTATAAATTAAAATTTTAATTAGGTAATGAATATGGTATTACTGGGCGTTACGCAGGGAATGGGAGAATTAATTAATTTTACATAATTTATGAACAACTTTAAAGGTTTGTTTAGAAAAGTATACTTTTCAATTCTTTGTTTGATGAATAATTACTAATTAACAATTGAAATAATTAATAGCCAATCAGCTTGTCCCTTCTTTCCCTAAAATAGACACTCAATATAGTCGCCGGTTATAATTTTTGTATTAGTGACAACCTATTGACTTTTTTGAAAGCATAATTTGTATAGCAGATACAGTAGAATCCGCTTATAATAACATCACAGCGAAATGACAAACACGTCATACTAAGCGGGCGTCATACTAAGCATAGTCTTAGAAAATAAACAACTTTCTATTTTGGTTAGTTATTTAGTTCAATAGATAGAAAAACTACAACTTCTGTATATTTATTAACATAAAAAGAAAAAGAACGATGAATTGTAACATCAATATACATAAGAAGGGTCAGAAAAATGAGCGAAAATGTTATTATTAATCATTTGGGTCACTATAGGCGGATATGATCTTGAGAATCAGTCATAATAAACGATATGTTATTTTAAACGTAGTCATTATATTCAAACTTTTCTATAGAGAATTTAATACGAAAACCAAACTTAACACGAAGGTCGGATATGACCAACATTGAAAGAGCAAGGAGTAAAACGTTGAGGCTAACGGTTATCATAGTCATAGTATTTGTATGCTGCTGGACGCCATACGTTTTCATGACAGTTTGGTAAGTTTATAAATTGTTGATGGTCGATACCAATATTTTAAGAAACTTTTAATAGCGACTGATATTTAATATTGCTACTGTCGCCTTTGTTAGTTTAGTTGTCAGAACATTGGTGTGTAAAGGTTCGATCCCCGGCGAGAGACTGACAGCGGCAACAATTTTTCCTCATTGATTAGAAGTAACGTAAAAAAAATATTAGTAGATACACACTAGTACGTGTTGTAACGAATTATTAATCATGTTGAACTGAGTTTAAAACACTTAAATTTGTTTCAAAGGATTCTATTATGTTAGCCACAGGTGGCAGATTTAGAGCTCCGATGGGCATTCAGTTGAACTTTCAACATTTTACACGGTAGTTTTCCACAGTATCGACCCTTGATAAGCACGTGTGCTTATGGAAAATTTAAAATTTCAAACTGAATATTGAAAGGCCATTCATACAACGGATGTATCTAAACACAAAATTTTTAGCCGAAAACTAGGGGGGAAGGTGTTTTTACGCCGAGGGTGTTTATACGCCGGAGTATACGGTAATTAAATATACTTATGTAAAATATAGGGTCGTTCGGAAAGTCATTTCGTTTTTTCCCGACAGAGGATTTAATTGTATTCTTTTGCACCCAACTTCACATTTAAGCCGTATAATTTTTATATGTTTTGAGAGCTCATATAGCAAGGCTTGTGCGTGAAAAATTCCAATTAATTCTACGCAGTAGTTTTTGGTTGGTGCCCTTTTAAATATGGAGAGCGATAAGCAGCATTTTCGACATATCTTACTGTTTTACTACAGAAAGGGTAAAAATGCTGTT